TGATTGACAGGAAACAGAAAGGGAATGTGTTTGGCACTGGTAAAAGCCTGAACATAGAAGACATCCAAGTTCACCTCCACAGTGACACACTTCCTCTAATAAGGCCACACTTATACAAACAAGGCCACATTTCCTAATACTGCCACTTCCTACTGGCTAAGCATTCATACATAGGAATCTATTAAGACGAAAGGTATTCGAACCACCACAGTGGTGTAGTTTTGATTTTCCATAGTGCTCAAGAAACTCAAGAAATGAAGAACTACTTTTAGTACAATTAAAGTGTTATAAAAGCAAGTGAGAGAATACAAGTCACTGGAAAGAAGATAGGATAAAAACTTATAATGAGTGTATAAAATTTAAGGTAGACTTAGGTGAGCATGCAGTTTGGTATCCTAAAGGAATGTTAATGATTTTTATAGGGTTTTGTTGCTTTGTAAAATAACATGATTAAAAAAATCAGTGAGGAAAGGTTTTATTTAAGGATACAGTTAATAGTTCATTATGGATAGAACACATGTCAAGAACTCATGGCACAAACCTTGAATTAGGACTTGAACACACAGTCATGGAAAGACACTGCTTACTGGCTTGCTCAAAATTCCTTTGCATAATACCCTAGACCACATGCTTTAATGTGACATCAGCAGACATTAAGCAAGAAAATGTTCTATAGACTTGCCTATAATCCAATATTAAAGAGACATTTTCTCAGCCTAGGTTCTTCATCCCAGATTACTCTGGCTTGTGGAAAGTTGACATCAAATCTAACAAGAATAGTACGTTTCATACCATGTCTTTTTTATTGTTATCATCTCTTTAGCTTTTCCTTTCTCTGATCCACATTGCATAATTCTAGTCTTTCATTTCAACTCTTATTTCATATTTTCCATTTATCAGGATGCTTTTGGGACTGACACCCACTGTCTGGAAATTCTTGCAAATCACTGACAGTGTTGGAAGTAAATTTCTGTTATACAATTCCCTTTAAGAAAATGTTATCAACTCCTAATCTCTGATTTTTTTGGATGAATTTATAATGTTGAGATCCCATTAACTTATCTACAATCAACTTGGACTGAAAAAAATCAAATATTTAACATATTACCATTGTTTTTCATATTACTAAGACTAGTGACTGAATTAGAATATCTGATTGAATAACTATAAGTGTTGATATATATTAATATAATGTCAACCATGTAAACTTCTGGAAAAGCAAAGAGATTTTGTGTCCTCAAGCAAAGGTAACATGTCCCTTAATCATTTAAAAACTGTTGGAAAGATTCAATTAGACATTCCCTTAGAGGTAATTTAATCTGGATGAACATATCACATTGTGACATATCACATTGAGGTCAAGAAAACTGATACTTGATCAAAGACTTGTGATTGAAAAGACAGAAAGGAAATGAGGGAATTAACACCCTTTACAGTAGTCACAAATAATATAAAATACCTTGATGTAATTCTAACTAAAAATTGGAAGTCTCATGGGACAAAAAGTTAATGCCTATGAAGATAGACATTGAGGAAGATATAACAAGATGGAAATATCTCCTGTGTTCACGGATTAGTAGGATTAGTATAGTAAAAATGGCCATCATCCAATAACCAAACTTCAAATTCAGTGCAATTCCCATAAAACTCCAAGAAATTATCGAACTAGAAAAAGCAATTCTCAATATAATATGAAAAAACAAATAAACAAACAAACACAAATCCCAGGATAGCTAAAGCAACCCTGTACAATAAATGAACTTCTAGAAGTATCACCATCTATGAATGCAAGGTATAATTCAGAGCAACTGTATGTCAAACCACATGGTATGGATATAATACCAGACAAGTTGAATAATAAAATTGAATCAATGACACAGAATTAAACCCACACATGTATGAATATTTAATTTTTCAAAACCATATAGTATAAAATTAAAAATAGAATCATCTTCAACAAATAGTACTGGTTTAACAGGATGTCTGTAGATAACACTGTTCAAGAACTCATTTCTAACATTCTGAACAAACGTTAAGTCCAAGTGGTTCAAAGAAGTGGAGAAAACTAAATCTAATAGAAAAAATGTGGGGAACAGCCTTGAACAGAGTTTTACATTAGACAAATTTCTGAACTGTACTCAAATGACTTAGAAATGAAAGTCATTAAAAAAGTGGGATTCATGGAACTGAAAACCTTTTGCACAGCTAAGGACAGCATCAGTAGGAGAGAATGGCAGCCCAAAGAATAGGAAAAAATCTACACCAACACTACCTCAGACAGAGGACTAATATGCAAAATATATAAAGAACTCAAGGACTTAGAAATTGACAAATCAAATAATCCAATTTAAAAATGGGATACAAAGCTAAACAGAAAATTCTAAACAGAGGAATCTCTAATGATGTAAAAGCACTTAAAGAAATGTTCAACAATATTAATCAACACAAAATGCAAATCAATATGAATGTGAGATTCCATCTTACACACTTCAAAATGGGTATGGTTAAAAATTCAAGGGACAGCATATGCTGGTGAGTATGCGAAACAAAAGGAACATAGCTTTATTGATGAAAGGAGTCCAAACTTGCTCAACCACTTTGTCAGTTTGTAGGTAAATTGAGAATGTATTTAACTCAAGACCCAGCTATACAATTCCTGGGCATATTTCTAAAATACTCCCCATAATACATCAGGGACACTTGTTCAAACTTTTCTTTTCTTTTTTTTTTAACTTTATTTTTATTTATTTTTTAAATCAAATAGTAATTTTTACTTTTTCTTTTTTTTTCTTTTCTTCTTTTTTTTTTGTTTTTTTGAGACAGGGTTTCTCTGTGTAGTTCAGGCTGTCCTGGAATTCACTCTGTAGACCAGGCTGACCTCAAACTCAGAAATCCACCTGCCTCTGCCCCCCCAAGTGCTGCGATTAAAGGCGTGTGCCACCGCCGCCCGGCAATTTTTACTTTTTCACAGAGGGGTTATAAACACAAAAATGCAGGACGTGGGGAAGGGGATGACACCAGAGTGCGGGTGTTCATGGGGAGTACAGATATCATTCAGAACAGGGTATCAGCTGGGTCAAGGTTCAAGGGGCAGGTCACTATGACTCTGCCTATGATTCCCTTGTCCTAATCTAAGTTGGTATTATAGCAGCTTTAATCATAATAGCCAGCAACTAGAAACAACATAGATGTTTCTCAACTGAAAAATGGATAAAGAAAATATAGTACATTTACACAATGGAATAATATTCTATCACAAGCAAAGACATACTTAATTTTGCAGGCAAATGGATGGAACTTGAGAATATCATCCTGTGTCTGTTAATGCAGACAACAAAAGAAATGTATTGTTGGCAATCACTTACAATTGGACATTATCTATAAAGTCAGGATAACCTTGATACAATCTACAGATCCAAAGAAACTGGGTAATAAGGCAGAAACAAATGAGGATGTATGAATCTCACTCAGAAGGGGAAACAAAATAGCCTTCAGAGGTGGTTGAAGAGAGATAATTTGTTGAGAAAGGTGGTGGGTAGTGGTATCCATACTTCTGAATGGCAATCAGGTGTGGTGTGTGTGGGGGATCCAAGAGAGGGCTGATAATGAGAAAGGAAATCAGTGGCACTCTTGTTAGCAATAGACCTGGGACACTGGAGGCTCTTGAATGTCCATGGGAGTCACCCTAGCTAAGAATCCTAGCAGTTCAGGTTATGGAGACTGAATTAGCCATCTCCTGTAGCCAGGTGTGACTTCCAGTGGAGGGAAGGGAACATCAACCCATTCACAAAACCTTCAAACCCCATCCCAAAATATACTGCATACAAGATGTGTAGGGATAATGATGGAACAGAAATTGAGGGAATGTCCAACCAATGATTCGTCCAAAATGAGATCCATCTTTTTGGACGAGAGCGAACCCCTGAGACTATTAATTATATTCTGCTATGCTTGCAGACAAGAGCATACTATAACTATCTCCTGGGAAACTTCATCCAGTAGCTGATGAAAACAGATACAGAGACCCACAGTCAAACATCAGGTGGAGATTAGGGAGTCTTGTGAATGAGTGGGCAAATGGGTGAGCCGAAGGGGTCAAGGACATCACAAGACTTACAGAGTCCACTAAACTGGGCAATGAGGTTCCATAGATATTACACCATGAACCAAAGAGTATGCAGGGCTGAATCTATGCATCCTGTATATTTATAGCAGATGTGCAGCTTGGTCTTCAAGTGTGTATCCAAACAATTGGAGCCAGAATGACAGACCCTTGTTGCTTCATCAGAGTATCATGGCAGACATCCCAAGGGATTGTCAATCTTAAGGCTCCGATTGTTTTAACACACACATAATATGAAGTGTGTATTATTTTTAAATAAAGTGCCATAGAGCAACAAAATACTTGTTAAACACAGAGTACTGAAAGCATGTAGAATATATCTATGATCATGCTACGGCAGAGCAAACTTAAAGTTAGATCTATGATATATCTTGGAGAGATCATCGCTAACTGATATTTGTGACCTAAAAGAATTTTATATTTTAAAAATCAAGTTTTTGGAAATCTCACACATGGCTCTACTTTCACTGTTGATATTGCTTTTTTAAGGACAATCTGAATGTCATGAAGCATTAAAAATTTTATAATTCTAGTTAGGATAATATATCAGTTAATGAGTTTTATACTTTGATTATAATAACTTGATATTCATTACAATTCTCTGAAATAAGAATTACTAAATTAAGGTAACATTATTTGCTAGATTAACAACTATCATTTGTAATACATTTGATTTGTGCAACCTAATTTTATTGATATATTTTATACTCAGTGATCGATAGATGAATAGGCTTTTTACATTTGGACATTTCAAAGCAGAATATTTTTATTTTTTTTAAAAACAGGCGCATTACACAAACACGTGCATTTTCAATGTATATAATTCAAATCAAAAGCTCAGCAATGGCTGTTGTGGTGCAGCTCCAAAGGAGACATGTTAAATGTGCCCTAAACAATTGTCTGGAATCAGGCGACACTCCACCATTTCGATATTAAATAGAATTTCTTGTGCATCATATTTTAGGCAGTTGGAAAGGTTAAACATTGCCAAAAATTTGTGACTTCTGTTACTTGATTTTAAGGATGAAAGATATCCCCAGATGGGAAATTCTTCCTCTTCCTCTGCTGTAGGATAGATCTAAATATCAAAATGATAATCAGTTAATTATTCATTGCACTGTTAGTGTTCCTTTGACCTTATTTCTTCTGTGTCCATTCAGAGAAATACATTCAGAAAAGTGTAGCTTCCATCAAAGTTATGAGTTTTCATTTATCTAAGCCAAGAGAGTCTCAAGCAGTTACACTTTATAATCTGTGGGGAAGACTCCCGTGCATTACTCCTAATATGTACTTAATTGCAGCGGAAGTTTGCCTTTTCAGAAGCAGAGGAAATGTAAGAAGTTTCTGTTTCATCCTGGGCGAATGTAAGAGCTCATATTAGTTACTCACTCAGGAAATTCTTACATGTCCTTTCATATTTTTTTCACAACAGCTTATATACATCACTCTTCAACTAAATCCAACCTCCATGAGGTCTATTTATAAAAATTTCATAAGTGATGAGGAACAGATGGTGATTTAATACACAGACCCTAGGAATGACTGTGAACGAAGGACCAGAGCTCTCTTCCTCCAACTAGAAATTTTAACTGCCTAAGAGGAACATCTCTGTTTCATTCTGATCTCAGAGTAGAAAGAGATGAGAAGCATCTGAAAGGATTGGAGATGCCAGCAACCTATTTGTGCAGTGATTCTCAAACTTTCTAGTGCTGTGAGCTTTTAATATAGTTCCTCATGCTGTGACCCCAAGCATAAAAGTATTGTCATTCCTCCTTAATGAATCTAATTTTGTTAATTTTAGTAATTTCAATGCAAATAGCTGATATGCAGCATATCTGTTATACAACCTCTGTAAAACGGTCATTTGACCACGAAAGTAGTAATGACCTACAGGTTGAAAAACACTGTTTTATAGAAAGATTTTGAACAAGATCAGATATTTATGTTTCACTTTGGAAGGATAAGGTATTTAAAAATTGGGTTTTTGTTGTTGTTGTTGTTGCTGTTGTTAATTTCTACAACCCACCTCTTTTATGAGTGAGAATAACTAATGGGAAGTGCTCACCTTGGTGAGTATCCACCTAAGGTCATCCAGGATTTGTCTGTTGTTCTCTTCAATCTCCTTGGCTTTTGAGAGGGTAGTTTCAGGGACACCTTTCATGGCACTCAGTTCAAGCACTAGATGGTATAGAGGGCTAGTCCAGAAACCCACATAATTGATCAAAATTTTTAAATACTTTTCTATCTGTGAAACACAATTGAACAATTACATTAAACAATTTCAGTTTAGCAGGTTTCTTACCTGTAATATTCATGTAAAGAAGCTTAACTGAGACATGTATTTCCTTCATGTATGTGACATATGTATAGATGTTACATAGTTTGGAAGTATAACACTTAAACAACTGCTATATTTTCTAAAAAGTAAAACAAATTATAGTTCTTATCAATTAGAATTTTTCTGAGGTTAGGTCATCATACTTTGTTCTCTCTATGCAATTCTAACAGCTTTCTTTTCAGTGAGCTCTTTATTATTCGGTTATTTGTTCATCAATTTATAAAATGGTTTTTGCTAGTACTTAATAGGGAATAATAAGGTTTGAGTTATGATAGAGGCAGGGTTAAGTGGTTATAATTCTTTTCAATAAGGGATTCATATATATTATGTATGAGGGAAGTTCTATATCACAACTTAAATAGAACTGCTATGATATGTAGACATTGTCATCATGAATTTGGGCATTGTTGCATTATAATAATTTATATTCCTTAGAATATAATTTCTAAGTACTATTCAGAGTACTATTTTGTAATTGGGTTTTCAGTTAAGGCATAAATAATCATAGAGTGATGAAAAGATAGATAAAAATGAAATAGAAACAGGACAGATTTGGAAATCAAGAAGGGGGATAGTGTTCAGTAATATAGAATGCTATCATGCAGAACCAATTAATAACATATAATAAATACAGCCACAATGTTATCACTAATGGAGAAGTAAGTATATATCCAACAAGTAATGAATAGTGAATTTAGCTCAAGGAATTCTAAAAAAAAAAAACCAAAAAGTAATATTTGAGTGGTTGATCATTCTCAAAATACCATTCTATAAATGGTGCATTTAAACATTTGTCACACTGTCTTTGTGTGTTTCATTTCATTTGTAATTTATCAATACTATAATGTGATTATTTTGTATACTTTGTCTTCATTTTTTTCTGCATGTTTAAATACTGTTTCTATCATAACGCTTGTAATAACTGACAGTACCACAAAACTAATGTATTGCTTCTGGAATTCTGTGGAAAACCCAGGAAGGAAACTCACTTCAGTAGTCATGAGCTCTCTTGGCTCTTTTGGGGGGTTTGTGAGAGAAGAATGGCAGTAAGATGCAGCTCTGACAACACTCTCATCTTGCCTATTCAGTTTTGACTTCTGAAAATAAAATGAAAAACAAAGTTCAGAAATCATAAATAACTACATGACCAGAATATTAATACATGCTAGTGGATTTGTAAATTTTGACATATGTAATTCATAAAATACAGATATTGAGAAATTAAGAAACTCTTTGTCATGTAGTTTTGTCTATATACATTGTTCTTGCAATTTAATTTGGTTTTTCATTAACTTTGGATATCTAACTCCTTCTTTTAAATGCTTTTCTTCTTCACTTTCAAAAGTTAAGCTAAAGAAGGCAGACACTTAAAGGATTAAATTGAAAAAGAACTAAGTGGTTAAATTATTACCATTGTTTAGCATTTCAGCATAAAGACATAGCACATATTTATTAATCTTTCTCTTTTCTGTCAATAAGTACTGATATTTCTTTATCCAGACAACAAAGTTATAAATTTATTAATTTAACACTAAAGAATATAGCTGGGCATGTTAATAATAGTTTTAGAATGAAAACTGCATTTTGACTCACAAAAATGAACAAAATGAGCTATTTTATGGTAAATTCTATGTAAACTCAAAGCCAGTAAAATATAAAAAATTATTAATAAATATTAATTAGCTTAGAATATCTTATTTATTTCAAATAAACATCCATTTCATGAAAGCTTAGTGAATAATTGTGAAGGTTAAGAAGTTGAAAAGGTGTCAATTATGAACAAGATATACAAATACTGTATAATGCTTTCTCTTCTAAAGCACAATCATTGACATGAAGATCTTAGTGTGAAACAGCTAGAAAAAAGTAAGCTACTTACAAGAGCTGCAAATTGTCCAGCTGAGAATTGGTTGTGGAACTGAGTCATGTTAAGGGGAGAAAAATGACATCTAGTCAATAAAAATATGATGACATGTTTATTTCAAATAGTGACAATGTTCAGTGTGTCAAGTTCTAGTGCAGTTCAAGTATTAGTATGGTGGTTGAGGTACTTACAAACTCTACATAGAATTGTTTAGCAAGTTTTCGCTGGGTTTTAGCTCTCTCGATGGCACTCTTAAATGCTTCCTCAAGCGGGTCCCAACAACCTCCCTCTTTTGCCTCACATGCAGGAATTGATGCAGCTTTTTCCCACAGCAACAAGTTTGACAGCACCAGCAGCAGGAGTGCCCCTGTTACATAGAAACAAAACACAATTAGAGATGATATATAAACCTGAGTTCTCCTAGGCCCAGGAATGTTGTAACTGGACAAAGTTTTTTTTTTTTTTTTTTTTAGATTTTGGGTTTTTTTTCCTGTTTGTTTTTCAATTTTTTCCTGCATGACTGTATATTGGATATGTGGAATGATGGCATACAAAGTCACTTGAAGTACGTAGGCAAGTAATTTTTCTGAATAACAGTTTGAGGAGCAGGTGATATCACATTTTTTTGTATTGTTTAAGAACTGCTTCTGAATTTTACAAAAGTATGAAGTTAAAATTAGTTCTATTCTTGTATTTTAAGGCATTTTTAGATGGTTTACTATCTTTGAAATTCAAGCTCATTTTCAGTTAGCAAACTCTTAAAGAATATGTAATTTTTAATCATCATGTTTGATGTCAATATTTTGGACACTTATAGCACAGGGATAGCACAGTTTACCTCTTTGCTTCCTCTATACATTGGTCAATATATATAAACACAATGATTACTAACAAGAAGATGAAGAGATATTGGCCAATGTATGATATCATTGTAGAACTGCTAAGATGATAAAACTTCATCGGAGATTTTTTTCACCAAAAACTTCAGATTACTAATTTTAGAGCTAATCTGCCTAATAATTTTTTTCAGCAGATTAAACTCTCTTAATGTATTCTGAACATACTCATGCTGGAGAAGGATTGCATGTTCAAATTGTTTTTCTAATAGTTTATTATTGGTTAAATTAGAAGTCAGAACACCAACTATCAATATTTTTTACTCACAATTTTGTTTCTTCTGCCTTGAGATAAGAATAAATTCATCCACTGAATTTACACCCTCAAATTTTCCAATTTCTAAAACTCCATAACATTGATTATTTGAGATGTATTTTTGTTCTGGAAGGTGTCCTATGCATTGGAAGCTGCTTAATAATTTCTTTAAGTTCTACCCATGAAATACAAGGCACACTTTCATTTTCTCTCTCCTCAAGAGAGAATAAAAGACATCACAGAATCTTTTTAAACATTGCAACATGTCTCAATTTAAAGGATAATGAAAACTACTAATCCAATTTTCTCTTCAAACCAGATAGAACATCAGAGATTCCAAAGAAAGAATCCCATTAAAATAAACTCATAGAAACACTGAACTGAATGGTTTTACTAAGAGAAGAATAGGGGTATGGGCGATTTACTTACAGAAGTGAGGTAGACTCAATGGTAGCACCATCACTCAGGAGTTCCTAAGCAGGATGAGTTCTGTCTCTGGAGACCTGGTTCACTGGATTTGTATATTCAGTTAGTTTCCTGATCCTATATATTCTAGCAGATGACCCCAAGGGCATGCACAGCCATGAGCCAGCATGAAGTCATGTACAGAAACACTCATTCATAAACCATGTCATTCTATCTTCAAGGAATATTAACTGTCTTATTACAACATACTTATGTGTGTCTGGATGTTTTCTTTTAACATGTTCCAACACGTAGATTCTTGTGTAAATTTATTTTTGCAATCTCTGAAGCCATTCGCAGCTGCCTGATTAAAGATCATCAAATCATCAGAAAATTGTTGTTCATGATTACTTCCCCTTCCTTTGAATCTTACATTCTTTGTTTAATTTTTTTTCTTCATCTTTCTGGACAGAGAGCTATTCTTCATTGAATATTTGACCACTATACCACAACATTAGTAAATTATCTCTACTCGACATTCTTTTAAAATAACAAATATAGGTTGTTTTCTTGTAATTGCTCTTAATCATGTCTGAAGTTTGTTAGCTGCACCAGTAACAATTACACCATGATTGTCCTAATGAGTATATTTTCATACAGTTACTGCTAGTATTAGCACTTGTGCCATAGTACTACTGGTGAAAATTCTTCAAAAGCCAAAGTCTTAGTGGCTTCTAGACTCTGGCATCCAGTCAACATTGAGGGATCTTCTAACCCAACGCCAACAAACTATGCTCATAATGTTGAAAGAGAACACTTGCTGCTTAAAAATATACACAAATTTTACATTTCTTTTTTTAATTATTTTCATTATTTATATTTCATTTTCATTCATCTGTCCAAAGTTCAGTATTCCATCCCTCTTCCCTTTTGCTTCTGAGCAGGGGCTTCCCAAAATTCCCACTCTACCTACCTCATCCCAGTCATCATCACATTTCTCTGGAGAATCAAGTTTCTACAGGTTTATTCACATCCCATTCAACTCAGTCCAAACAAGGCCTTTGTCAGCTACATATGTGCCAGGGGCCATGGACTACTCCATGTATGCTCTTGGATTGGTGGTATAAACTCTCGGAGAGCAGAGGAGTAAAGATTAGTTTATACTTTTGTTCTTTCTTTGGGGTTGCCATCCACTTTAGCTCTTTAATCCTTCCTCTAACTCTTCCATAGGGATCCAGGACCTCAGTTAGTTAGTTGGATGTAAGTATCTTATATGTCTCAGTTAGATGCTGGTAGAGCATCTTAGAGGACAGTCATATACTCCTATCTGTAAGCACAAAATGACATCAGTAATAGGGTCATGGTTTGGTACCTGTGCATGCAATTGAATCCAAGTTGGGCCAGTCATAGGATGGCCTTTCCTTTAGTCTCTGGACCATTTTTATTCCTGAATATCCTTTAGGTGGGAGCAATTCTGTATCAAATATTTTGAAGATGAGTGTGAGGCTCCATGCCACAACTGGGTGCCATGTCTACTGTAGGTGGTCTCTTCAGGTTGCATCTCCTCACTAAAGGGCATTTCAACTAAGGTCACTCCCATTGAATCCTGGGAGTCTCTCTCATCCTAGGTCTTTGGGAGACTAAAGTTTCCCTTTGCCTCTCACTCCCTACTGCTGCATATTTCCATTCATTCTACTGCCTTCTTGGTTTCTCTTCCTCTCTCCTCCATATTTGATCCTTTGTCCTTTTACCCTCACTAATTCCATTCCTAGCATGGTGCCTCCCTCCCTCTGCCTTCTGGGATTATTTTGTTTGTACTTCAAGTGGAACTGAAGTATCCACACTTATGCCTTCCTTCTTATTAAGCTTCATATGGTCTATGAGTTTTATCATGAATATTTTGTTCTTTAGGCTAATATGAACTTATTTGTGAATATATACTTGCATATCTTTTTGGGTCTGGGTTATCTGTCAGTCTAGAAGAGCACTGGCCATTCTTCTAGATGTCCTGAGTTCAATTCCTAGCAAGAACATGGTCACTTACAAGTATCTGTAATGAAATCTGATGCTCTCTTTTGGTGCATCTCAAGGTTGAAAAAAACATACTTACATATATAATCTACACCCTCACAGATTATTTATGATCTGAATTTAATATCCTTTTAGGTTCTTTGCCAAATGACTAAATGTGTAGATGTTATATTTATGAAATGGAAGCTTAACAGAAGTAAAGTACTTTTGTAGACCTACTGTTACTTGCTTCAAGACACCATAAATTGACTTGGTGATTCTGTATCCACATGGACATTAGTCACAGGTTAGCAAAGGTATTAGACAGTACAAACAAACCTCGTGGTTATATGAGTTGTTTTTCCCAAAGCATAAGACTGTGTAGAGAAGCACGGATGGAATCATTACTTCTTTTGCAACCCTCTGTACTGTTTGGATTGTTTCACGTTAGACTGACATATTTTCAGTAAGGGGTAGCATCTTGCTAAGGGCCAAGAAGGAGTAGGGTCCATTCAGATCTACCAAATCTTATCCCTCAAGAAGTGTTCGAACTTTCAACAGTCTCTTGCTTGGTATTATACTCTCTAGTCGTTTATCTGTCAACAGTGTTTTAGAAAAGAACTCTAGACTTGGTTAGTAATCTTCTCCTCTCTTCTCGACACATATGTTCAAAACAATTTTCATAAGCTAGTACAGAACACTAAAAATCTTATATTCAGCCTTTGTTCCTTCTACACATCCAATCCAAAGATTCCTACCTATGTTAGAGAATGGTATACAAAGTACACTATGAGGGACATTTAAGTGCCTGCCTCTAGGGCAAGCCGTATCATTATTATATTCCTTGAAATAGGTCATTATTGCACTGTTGTTTTTTGCACTAGTGATTTTGATAGGTAAGAATTCTCATCTACTTGAATAATTGTTGATGACAGTTCCTTGAAGATTCCTTTAAGATGACCTCGAGTCCACTGTAATGTCAAAGCAGAAAGGCAATGTTAGTCAATCTGTTGGTTTTAAAAGAAGTACTGTCCCTTTAAGACATTGCTCTCCTGAAGCAGGGAAATCAGTGGAAAGCCCTGTCTCATCTGCTACCCCATGGAGAACCGCTATTCAGTTTACAGCTTTTCTGCTGCTCCTACCTACCATTCCTTTGATCTGGTCAACATTTCTGTTGGAGATCCTAAGTTGGTCACAATGCAAATCTCAACCAGAGTTGACTTCCCATGAAACCAGTTCTCATATATATTCTTTTTGTTGTTCATGTTTGTTTATTGTATTAGCATGTTACAAATGATATATGTCATTTTATAGTCACCTCTTTTCTACAGATCCCCTTCTCACTCATGTGCAATTTTATGGTGAATCATGACTTGTGAGAAGATAATATACAAACTGTGTAGTTACAATTTTGGAGAACAGAGTGTCATCTCTTCTAACAACATGAATGTGTTTTTTAGAAATGCAGGAGTTGAGATCAAAAATACCTGACAAAAGTCAAAGGGATTATTCTTGACATTTCTAAACAGGTGTCTTCTACTTGACTCTTAACTTAGTGAAAATGAAAATTCTTTCATTAAAGAATGACTATAATGCTTGGTAGAAAGTTGGATACTCTTCTCATGTTTTTGTCTTCTGAAAGTCTCCTGTGTGTTTGAATTCTTATTTCTTTTCCCAAGTTTAGATACTGTTTTTCTGCTATGTATTACCATTGAAGATTTTGCAAACATTATAATGTACCTATTTATTTTTTTGAAATTAATTTTTATTGAATATTTTACTTACATTTCGGATGTTATTCCCTTTCCCCATTTCCACCTCCACCCAGAAACTCCTTATAACATCTCTCCTCCTCCTGCATCTCTGAAGATGTGCCACCAGCCACCAATCGACTTCTATCTCCCCTCCCTTTAATTCTCCCATACTGGTTTATCCACCCTTCATGGACAAAGGATCACCTCTCCAAACTATGCCTAACAAGGCAATCCTCCTCTACATATACAGCTGGAGTCATGGGTCTCTCCCTATGAGCTCCCAGACTGGTGGTTTAGACCCTGGAAGCTCTAACTCCTCCATTGGGAACCCGTTGATCATGACAGTGGTTAGCTGTGAGCATCCTTTTCTGTATATGTCAGGCTCTTGAAGACCTCTAAGGAGACAGCTATATCAGGCTCCATCAGCATGCACTTCCTGGGATCCACATCAGTGACTGACTTTGGTGACTGTACATCGGATGCATACACAAGTTTGGCAGTCTCCAGTAGATCCCTCCTTCAGGATGATATTTTCTAGTTCCATCCATTTACCTGTGAATTTCATGAATTCATTGTTTTTAATAGCTGAGTAGTACTCCATTGTGTAAATGTATAACATTTTCTGTAACTAATTCTCTGTTGAAGGACATACGAGTTCTTTCCAGCTTCTTATTATTATAAATAAGGCTACTATGAACATAGTGGAGCATGTGTCCTTGTTATATGTTGGATCCTGGGATCCTGGGATTCTGGTTTTAATAGCTCCTGGGAGTCAGGCTGCTTCTGAGATTCTGAAATTCTGGTGTTCCCAGGCTCCTGAGATCCTCTGATCCTATTATCATACGTTTCTGTGCATGTTAGAGCTCCTGGGGGTCCTACCTCCTCTGAGTTTTGGGGGATTGGTTGCAGAGCTGGTGCCCTAGGTCTCATTGGAGCACAACTGCAGACAGGAAGGGTTCTGCACCCCTTGCCTTGAGAAAGTTCCTGTGTCCCTGTGGGTCCCATTTACTCCCTGGTTTTTTTTTCCAGTGAGTGGGTGTCATGGCCTACTCACCTATGCTCCTGGGCTTGTTAGAACTCCTGGGAGTCCAGCTTCCTTTCTGTTATAGGGGATTTGGTACAGTGCTGTACCAAATCCTCAGGACTGTTCTAGGAGCATGTGCACACCATAAGCCCTAGTTTTTAATATGGGTATTTAAAATTGTATATTGAAGTGGATATAATCTTAAAATAGTGACATATTGAATAATATGAAAATATTAATTAATAACTTATTTTATTATTCTGAGTT